TTTCACGAGTGAAGCGTGATTCGTCTGCCATGGTTGTATCCTGGGACTCAATATTCGTACAGTTTCGTCTCACTACGGAGCGAATATTAAGAGTTAAGGAAAGAGATTTATCTCGCCTCCATGTCTCATATAATCGTTGTTTCCTTAACCCCGTCTTTCTTATATCGTCTATGTCGATCCGGTTTTCCGGCTTCTACAGCAGGAACCTAGGGGAGGCTCTGAGGAGGATCCGAGAAGGTGCGGCGATGATTAGGACTAAAGGTGAGGCTGGGACTGGGAATATCGTGGAGGCAGTTAGGCATGTGAGGTCTGTTATGGGTGACATTAGGGTTTTAAGGAACATGGATGACGACGAGGTCTTCACTTTCGCTAAGAAGCTTGCTGCTCCTTACGATCTCGTGATGCAGACGAAGCAGCTTGGCCGTCTTCCCGTCGTTCAGTTCGCGGCTGGTGGAGTGGCTACTCCGGCGGATGCGGCGCTCATGATGCAGCTTGGATGCGACGGTGTCTTCGTGGGATCGGGTATCTTCAAGAGCGGAGATCCGGCTCGTAGGGCGAGGGCGATAGTTCAGGCAGTGACTCATTACAGTGACCCGGAGATGCTTGTGGAGGTGAGCTGTGGACTGGGAGAGGCTATGGTGGGGATCAATCTCAATGACGAAAAGGTTGAGAGGTTCGCTAATCGTTCAGAGTGAAAAGGAAGGAACGAGAATGGATGGTTTCAAAGACCATTTAGATGAGTAGTAGTTTGTATCCACATATCCCCTTTTGTCTTTGTTTTCCTTATAATCTTTGTTTAGTGTTTTATGATTGTAATCGACTGCCTTCTTCCATCTCTGCAAGAAACAAGTTTGTCAGTTCCAAAAATAATAATAAGAATGTATTCTCTTGATTTTCCAAAATGAAACATTCTTCTCTTCATTGATACTGAGCTTACTTAAGCGCAAGGAAGAGTATTGCCATCCTAGTATACGAGGTTTCCTCTCATACTGAGCTCTGCAGCTGATTGGGAGAAGTGTCCCGGATTAGATTCACATAGCCTCTAGTTCTTGGTATCATCAAATGTGTGGTCTCTCTTAGGCATCACTAACAGAAGAAAATATAATATGCTCTGGCAAGAGAGGCCCTGTACTATGAGTTTTGATTAACAAAAATGAAATCTTCCTCTCATACAGTAGTTTGGTATTGAATTTGGTTTCTTAGAGCCTTGTCTCAATGTGTGGGAATAAAAATTGATAAGTCAGTTAGGTTATCTGGCCCTTTTAAATGCGTAATCATTCAGAGTGAGCTCATTCTGTTAATCGGCCCATTCAATTATCCATATGGATCTTATTCTTTCTAAAGCTAAACGACGTAGTGCCATTACATGTATCGGCTCTTTTTTGGAAAGATGCGAAAACTTAAAATCAGTGCTCAATTGGTGTTTGATATAGGAGAAATAAAAAAAAAAAACTAATCTTCTCCATCCATCGTCCGTGTTGTCTCTCTAAACCCTACGGCAGAAAGAGAGAGAGAGAGATGTGTATCGATCCTTCACGTTTTCCATCGAAGGTCTAGGCAGAGATATATATATATAGTTGCTCGAACCCATCATAATGGTGGGAACCATCATGGCTTCAAGAGAAAAGCTTAAAGGTCTGGCGAGATCCGCCAAATCAGCCACCGAATTGCCTCCCAAGCTCCAGCGATTGCGCAATTTTCGTCGGAATTTGCAAGGAGACGCCTCCGAGCTGCTTCCTCTCCTTTTCGATCTCCTCTCTGATCAATTCGGTGCTGTCCGCAAGTTTGTAACCGAGTAAGCTCAGTTATCTGTAAACCGATTAGTTTTTTTTTTGTTTTTCAATTGGATTCGTCAGGTTATGATAACGCACAGTTTGTTGCCTCTGTCTGTCTTCAGGGATTTGATTATAAGTTCATCCTGTCTTACTCTCATTAGGATTCTATATTGCGACTAGTATAATAATCACTCCTTTCTTTGACTTATGGATTGTGCATACCTCACTCACTCACTGAACTTCTTCTGATGCTATTTTTTTTTTTAAAAATGCAGGATTCTTGGAGAAATTGGTTTGAACTATGTGGAATTATTACCAGAGATAGTTCCCCTTTTAACTAAGTCTCTCCAAGATGACACACCAGCTGTGGTCAGGCAAGTCATCGCTTCTGGATCTGCTTTATTCCCTTCCACTCTCCAAAAAGTCGCACTCCAGGTTTTTTTTTTTTTTTTTTTAATTGATTTCTCCCTATGTGACCCTGCATTTGGTGTGTAGATCCCTTTTTTATTTGACATGCTTGGCTGTCCTTTTTTTTTTTGGTTTCTAGGGTTTGCATTCTAGTGAGTTGGATGAGGTTGTTCAATCTTCCTGGACATGGATGCTTAATTTCAAGGATGAAATATGCTCTTTGGCTTTCAAGGTTGGAATTAAATGCTTTCTCTCATCTCCCCAAATGATTTTCTTCTTTTTATTTAAAAAGTCTTTTCTGATTCCTTTTTTTTCCTTGTGACTTGTTGTATATTAGCAAGGAAACAGTGGTGTTAAATTATGCGCTATGAAATTTGTGGAAGCGCTTATTCTTTTGTATACACCTGACCCTAGCGTCTCTCCTTCCCATGATGGTATTTCTTTATGTATCTGTCCCCTCAATACGCGAACTAGAAGTTCGTTGTTTTTATTACTAAGCCAGTCAGTTGCTTATACAATTTAGTTACGTAATTCAAGCAGATTTTAATATATCTATTCTTCGTGGGGGGCATCCTGTTTTGAATCTCGGAGACTTGTCCATTGAGGCCAGCCAGAAATTGGGTTTACTGCTTGATCAGCTTCGCCACCCTGCAGCAAAATCTCTTAATAGCTCCACCATTATCTTTCTTATCAATAGGTGAGTCGTTTATTGAGTGCATCTATTTGGGCAAGTTCATTTGGTAGTATTCTGTCAAACGTTCTATAAAATTCTTTAAAACATGTATATGCTTCTTTCTATGATTCTTTTGGATCCTTCTATCTAGAAAATTATTGGTTATCTCTGAACGTGTATCAAAAACTTGGATTCAATTTTATTTTCTGAAAGATCATCCAATCTAGTGAGGACCAAGTTGCTTTAACGTAACGGGGTAAAATGTGAAAGTATGCTTTGGTTCTCACTCACAGTTACTAGTTTTAAAGGAATACTGTGTTTTGGATCTGCTGGTATCTTCAGTGTAGAATTGTTGTATATATGGAGATCCAGGTTGTCATGTTAACTTGTCTTATGGCTCAAGAGTTCCTCTTTATTTGATTCTCTTTCTTATACAGTCTTTCATCAGTTGCAAAGAAACGTCCTGCATTTTGTGGACGAATTCTCCCTGTTCTTCTGAGCTTGGATGCCCCAAGCTTTCTGAATGGAGTGCATGCAGCAGCAGCAAATCTTGCCCTCAAGACTGTATTTCTCTCCTGCTTGGAATGTAAACATCCGGCTGCTGCACCGGTATTGTTTTGCTTATATCCAATGCTTTGTATTTGATCTTCCCAGAAGTTATCTGTAGATTATTACCTAATGCGCTCGGATGTTTGGGCATGTCTTTGCTGACCTGGCTTACTTGCTACCATATCGTTTCTAATTAGTTATATGTTAAGATAGTATGTTCTCCGTGGAGTTGTTTTTCATAGTTGTTTTTTTATTTTGATCCCTATGCTGTAATTTGTTCCAGTGGAAGGACCGGCTGATCGGTGCTCTAAAAGAGATAGAAGGTGGCAGTCGGGCAGAGAAAGCTGAAGATCTGTTTTACACGACTAACGGAAGCATTCAAGACAAAGACAGTGTAGAGGATACAAAGGTAGTTTGTTCCACTTTCCATCTATAACTGAATCTAGATGTTTATGGTTGTGTGTGCATGCGTCTTTTTTGGTTATATATATTAGATACGGACATTTAAATCCAAAAATTATTAATTTCAGGCATCAGTGGAAGAGAATTCTCTATGTGCAAGTTCTGTTGTTGCGGAAAGTAACTTTGGTAGGAAAAGATCTGGATCAGAATACAATATTGATCTGAATGGAGATGCTTCGACTGGAAAGCGATCAAGAATAACAACTTCTGTGTCAGGAGAATCTACTGAGGCATTAAATGGTAACAGTGTTGGCTCTTTACCTCTGGTTACTTCTACTTCAACTGGACCAAGTAATAGCAGAGGAGTGAGTGATTCTGGACCTGTTCAGCAACTGGTTGCTATGTTTGGAGCATTGGTTGCCCAGGGTGAAAAAGCAATTGGATCTCTAGAGATCCTTATTTCAAGTATTTCTGCGGATTTACTGGCCGATGTTGTGATGGCTAATATGCATAATATTCTACTAAATGGTCCCTCTTATACTGATGGCACCGATGAGTTGGTGATGAACATGTCTATAGTTGGCAGTGATGCACAAATTAAGTATCCACCATCATTTGTGGCTGGTGTTCTTTCACTGTCAACTGCATTCCCACCAGTTGCTGCCCTGATAAATCCCCACACACTGAAAACAGAAAATGTATGGGTGCTCTTTACTCGATTGAAAGTATTAATGTGTTATATTTTATTGCGTCATTTCTTCCTTATTTTGCTTCGTAGTTTGTAATATTGGATTGTACATTTAATCTCGCTAATGGCAGGAAGGTGAAGAACTCTGTTTGAATCATGTGGACCAGCAGATATTCCCGGCTGTAGATGCAGTAAATGATGAGAGCAATATTGAGCTTCCTCCAAATGTGCATTACAGAGGGAATGTAGAAAGTGGTATACCTGGACTAGATTCTTCTGCTCAACGCTATGTGTTATCAGAAGCCCCTGTTACTTCTGTATTGGGTTCTACAAATGTGGAGGCCGCCAGCAAGAACCAAGATGCGAGTGCCAGTGGAGAACTTCTTCTCGCTGTGATTCCATCAGTGTCAGTGGATAAGTCTGAGGAGTTCAGTCCAAAGGCGACTGGCATAGGTTCTAACAGCTTGGTTTCCTCAACGGCAACTTCACTTGCTTCTGCGCCTCAGTTTGTCTTGCCTAAGATATCAGCACCTGTTGTCAACCTTTCTGATGAAGAGAAAGACAGTTTGCAGAAGCTGGTGTTTTTGCGCATTGTTGAAGCATATAAACAAGTATCAATGTCTGGTGGCTCACAACTTCGCTTTTCTCTTCTTGCTCACTTGGGAGTTGAGGTAATTTTCTAAATTATCTTTTTGACATGGCTTTTCTTTGCTCCTGTAAGCGTTCTGAGAAGATGGCTCTCTTAGTTCAGCTTATGATTTATTACTCTGCGGGAAATTTTCTTTTGTGTGATTTTATAGATTTATACTTATTGGCCTCTGCGTGGATTCTTGCCTCATTTCCTCAACTCTATTGTTCTTATAGGAAGTGAATATTTCTACTACTACTGCTTGTTGTTTTAAGTTCTTTAAAATATGTCCTAGTTGCTACCAATATGTCAGCAAGATGACATTCATAGTAATTGATCGTCACATTTGCCATTTTTGCAGTTTCCTTCGGAGCTGGACCCTTGGAAAATGTTACAGGAACACATTCTCTCCGATTATTTGAGTCATGAGGTGAGAATTTGTTTTTCTGTCTGTAACAATTAAATCAGTGAATCCTGTGTATTCTTATGCATGCTTATTGTATTTTGGTGGCATCGACTCTGCTATATCTTAGTCTCCAAAATGTTGAATGACATCCCAACTTGATTCAAACGCCATTTTATCTGATCATTGTCACGTATGTTTTCAGGGGCATGAGTTGACTGTGCGGGTTCTCTACAGGCTATACGGGGAGGCAGAAGCAGAACAAGATTTCTTCTCGTCAACAACTGCTGCGTCTGCATATGAAAGTTTCTTGATAGCTGTGGTAAGCATCCACTTTTTTTTACAATCTTAATCAAATTTTTACTTTGAAATTTCTCAGAAACATTTCTTTACTTTCTAGGCTGAAGCACTTAGAGATTCGTTTCCACCTTCTGATAAATCGTTAAGTAAATTGCTCGGAGATTCTCCATTTCTGCCGAAATCAGTTCTGAAGTTGTTGGAATCGTTTTGCTGTCCTGAAAGTGGTGACAAGGTTGAAAAGGACTTACCTAGCGGAGACCGTGTTACCCAAGGTCTCAGTGCTGTTTGGAGTCTGATTTTAGCGAGACCTGGAATCCGGAATGACTGCCTGAAGATTGCTTTGCAGGTTTCTTCTATCTAACCTCTTTGCTAATTCCTTTTTTCGTTGGCGCAGCCAACATGTTCATCATTCAGGTTTCAATGGATTTTTTTTTATACATTCATTGTGCCAATTGTGTTATACATGCATTGTGCCAACATTTTCAGCATTCAGCATTGGGCTTCGATTTTGTGGTTCTTTCTCCTTTTTCTGAGTTTTCGTATATTATTGGGGGTTTTCATATTGCTAATTGTGGCTGGTCACTAAATTTTATTCCCTGTTCCTCTATTTTTTGTTGAATGAAAGAGTGCTGTTCATCACTTGGAAGAGATTCGCATGAAAGCAATCCGCCTGGTATGTTTCCCCAAAACCCTGAGATGCATGAATTCCGCTGTTGATGTGGAACCACTTCAATAATTGTGGGTTATCATTAAACAGGTGGCAAACAAGCTCTATTCTTTATCATTCATTACACAACAGATTGAGGAATTTGCAAAGGACAAGCTACTTTCCGTAGTGCGTTGCGAGAGAGGAGATGCTGAAACATTGAGCAATGATTGTGCCGGCTTGGATTCGTCCTCAGAAGCAACATCAATAACCGAAGCCCAACGCTGCTTGTCACTCTATTTTGCTCTATGTACCAAGGTCTTGTGATTTTTGTACCGTTCTTCTACTAAATGACAATTCTAGCCTAAATTTTGCTAAAAGTTTTGATTCGTATGCGTACTATTTAATTTTCAGAAGCACGCCCTTTTTGTCCATGTGTTCAGCATTTACAAAAATGCATCAGATCCTGTTAAGGAGGTAAGACTGGAGCATGCTTTTCTCAAATTAGTATTATATTTGTCTGTTATTTATTCGCACTGATTATATATGTAGGCTATCCATCGTCAAATCCCAATACTAGTTCGTACTATGGGCTCATCATCTGAGCTTCTTAAAATTATAGCAGACCCACCGAGTGGAAGTGAGAACCTTCTAATGCAGGTTTACGTCTTTTTCTTCTCAGCTTTGTCGTCTATGCTGTAAAGAGCTGTGAGCAGCTTTAATATTCCCTTAATGTTATTCTTTGATTACAGGTTCTTCAAACCCTTACTGAGGGGGCTAAGCCTTCTTCAGAGTTGATACATACTATAAGAAAGTTGTTTGATACAAGAATAAAGGTGAGGAGGATGCAATGGTTCCATTGAGAGCTCATTACTAATGTTTAGTCATTTCTCTAATCCTTGGGTTTTGAATTTTTGATGGAATCTGCAGGATGTAGAAATTATTTTCCCAATATTGCCGTTCCTGCCAAGGGACGATGTAAATCTGCTTTCCTACCTTTTTCCCCTTCTGTTGACGCTTTTCTAATTCTCCTAAAGTTCTAACTTCTCTCTCTCTATATATATATATATATATCAGGTTCTCCGTGTTTTCCCCCATATGGTCAATCTTCCTATGGAGAAATTCCAAGTCGCACTCTCTCGTGTTCTGCAGGTATCTAATTTAAACTTTTATTGTGTAAGTCTTGCTTCTGAGGTAAGTTTGATGTTCTCAGTCTGGAATTTGGTTCTCAGGGATCAGCTCAGTCTGGCCCAGTGCTTTCTCCATCAGAAGTTTTAATTGCTATCCATAGCATTGATCCAGCGAGAGATGGAATACCGCTTAAACAAGTATGTCTCGACCATTTTCTTTACAAGATGCAGCAAATAGATGAACAATTAGGAGATCTCCGCAACTTGTTTACCTAAATTCATCAATGTGGAGGTTGCTTATTGAATCAAATACACCATCTTTAACGTTATTATCAGGTCACAGATGCATGCAATACCTGTTTTGCACAGAGGCAGACATTCACTCAACAGGTTTTAGCCGGCGTTCTGAATCAACTGGTACAGTAACAGTCTCCATCTTACTGACCCAGTTTGTTTTTTTCAGTGATATTTACATTTTTTTTTTCTTCCGGATACTTTTGCTCAATGGTGAGTTTCTGGCTGCAGGTCCAGCAAATTCCACTGCCAATGTTATTCATGCGTACAGTTCTACAAGCTATTGGTGCTTTTCCAGCTCTGGTAACAAGCTCATAACATGTTTTCTCTTTTTGAAAGCACAATTTGATTTTTCACTCAATAATAGTAACCTCTTCAACTTAATGTTCTACTAGTCCGACTTTATCCTGGAGATCCTTGCTCGTCTCGTTAGCAAACAGGTCGGTAATGTTCTTGGAACACGTCATGCTTTTTCTCCATTCGTGATTCATTCTTAATGATGTGATTAAACATTTTGCTTCAGATATGGAAATATCCGAAACTGTGGGTTGGGTTCTTGAAATGCGCACAGTCAACACAGCCTCAATCATACAAGGTCTTACTACAGGTACGACTCATTTACAAATCTTTTTTTTTTTAACTCCTCCCTGATCTGCTTTGTATGCAATTTTTCAGAATCTCAACTGTAATGTAAAAATACTCTCGTTATGCCTTTTTTTTAAAAAAAAAATTTCTTCAAGAAGAAGAAAGGGTTTTTATGACTGAAATTTATATTTTGTACAGCTTCCTCCAACTCAGCTGGGAAATGCATTGACTAAAATCTCGTCTTTAAGAGCTCCTCTGGTCGCGCATGCCAGCCAGCCAGATATTCAGTCTTCACTTCCAAGGTTAAATCATCTACCGGATTTGAATTAAAACAAAGCTCTTGAGCTATTTGGAAAATCCATTCGCTGATCACAAGACTTTTTTTTTTTGGGGTAGATCTACATTGGCTGTTCTTGGACTTGTCCCTGATTCTCAGGGAACACAGACGAGTCAAGTTCAGGCGAGTGAAACACAAGAGAGTCAAGTGCAAGCGAGTGAGACACAAGGAAGTCAGGTGCAAGAGAGTCAAATGCAAGCGAGTGAGACACAAGGAAGTCAGATGCAAGCGAGTGAAACACAGGAGAGTCAGGCGCAAGCGAGTGAGACTCAAGAGTGTCAGGGAGAGCAGCAAGCAAGCGAGTCACAAGAGCAAACGAGCCAGTCTCAGCAAGTCTCGGTGGTACCATTATTGAGTCACTCTGAAACAACAGATCATCATCAGGATACCAGTCAGGTGGTTGCCAGTCAGTCTCAAAGCAGCCCTATTGGTACGGTTCAGTCTGAAACGAGTCAGTCTCAGAGCAGTCCCATTGGTGCGGCGGGGCAGTCTGAAATGAGTCAGGCCACCCAAGTGTCGGACTCGGATCCTCATCCAGCACCAACGAGCCACACCCAGACTTCAGATTCTCAAGTGTCAGGCCAGCGACAGCCCGATGATGAGAAGATGGGCGACACAGCAACCTCAGAAAACGAGAGGCCTGAAGTTGAGAAGTCAAAGGAATCTTCTGCAGCAGAAGAAGAAGACGACGACTGAGTGTAACTTTTGTAGCATTTTTAAAAAAGGATTTCATTTATTTCAGATGAATTTTGTAGAACTAAATTAAAGATGTCACTGTATCATTAGCGATTGTAATGTTTTCTTGAATCAAATGACTACTAAAAAAAATAGACACTGATGAGAGATTGATTGATTCAGCTTTTGTAAATGAATGTTTTCATGTTTGTTAAGGTCAACGAGATGTTTAAACGGTTTGTACCAACCCTATGTTAGAAAAAGATAGAAGAAGTTGCAAAAACTGTTGTTTAGATCGACTTTAAACCATAACTCTAGCTGACTAATCTCTATAATATTATTTGAGAAGTCAGTTTCCTATGTGTCGCTCTCACGTTCATTATCACGATGGTTGATTACATTGATACCCTTAATGAATTAAAAATAGTTAAAAATAATATTATTAATTCTTTTATTTAGTTTCCTTTTCAAAAATTTCCAAAAAGATATGTAATAAAAAGGAAATTTTTATAGTCATAAAAAACAAATTTAAAACGAAAAATATATGTATATATAATATGATTTCATAAAAAAGGAAAGTTGACAAAATAGTAATAATACATTTAAAAATATTTTTAAATAACATAAAAATATAGGTATCTATAATATAATTTCATAAAAAGGAAAGTTCAAAAAATAGTAATAATACATTTAAAAATATTTTTAAGAAACATAAAATATACTTTTAGAGTAATAAAATAATTTATATCAATCAATTATTATAAAAAATTTCATATATTTAGTTGACTATAATATCTTTCAATTACAGAAAATTATCTATAAATTACATTTTATTTATATAATATTATTTTCAAATACAATCACAATTTTGTATAGTGCTTATTTTTAAGAGATATTAAAAACTAAAAATAAATTTAACAATAAACATCGCTTGATCAAAATAATTGTTCTAATGAGCTAGATATATGATATTTTATCATTATTAAAATTATTTATTTTTTTAATATTAAATTTTCTTTTAAATTTNTTTCAAATACAATCACAATTTTGTATAGTGCTTATTTTTAAGAGATATTAAAAACTAAAAATAAATTTAACAATAAACATCGCTTGATCAAAATAATTGTTCTAATGAGCTAGATATATGATATTTTATCATTATTAAAATTATTTATTTTTTTAATATTAAATTTTCTTTTAAATTTTATGTTTTTATGTTTGTGAAATTAAATATAACCATAATCAAAATATCAAAGCAAATCTGAATTCTCAATTTAAGATTATTTAACATAAATTTCAGTTTACATTCAATAAATCTAAAGCATAAAGTTATTTAGAATTTATAAATACTTTAATTATTGTAAATATTGATAGGTGTTCATGAGCTTCCAAAAATGTATCAACTATTTATGCATATAACCTTCTATTGATCATAGGATAACTCTTTTTTTAACAAATGAAAATAAATATTAACCAACTCTTACAATTTTAGTTCTTTTGTAAAATTTATATATATCCATGAGACTCTAGAATATTATCATTATACTAATTTAAGTATTTTGGAATAAGACACTTTAGTTAGTTTTTAATTCATTCTAAGCACAATATATCTTAAGTTATACATAATTTTCTTAAAATATATTTACATATCTAAGACAACACCCACCATATGCAAATAAGTAACTAATTAAAAATTAATATATTTTAAAAATATTAAAGTTGAATTCAGAGACGCAATCCAATTTATCCAAATGATAACTAAACCAACCGTAAAAATAACAAAAACCGACTAGATATAACATATATAAAATTACAGTATAAGTAAAGTAATATAATACTATTAATATAAATGATGCATACAAGTTATAAATTAATTTAAAATTAAAACTAAATAGTAATCAATTATTATTATATATTTACTTTAAAAATATTTATACCCGTGCATGAGCACGGGAAAATCACCTAGTAATAATAATTAATAAAACTTTAGCAAACTTGTCAAAGTTCTCAAGTCAAAAATGATTAATCATGGCGGCGAAATTAGGGTGGAGACCTCCTTTGTTGTTGTTGATTTCAATCTTTGCACTATTCTTACCTTTTCACTCTCTCCTTTCATTTCCTCCAAAGATCTTTTCAACCCTCTCACCTGAAGATGTTGACAGGAAATAATTGTTGTTTCTTTGTCAACATACAAGAGATTTAGCGTTTTCAATCCGTAAAACTATTTTTGTGTGAAAAATTATACTATTTTGTGTAGTTTCAGCACTATTATTTTCTCTAAGCACCACTAAATATACACCAAAACTATATTTTAACTTTTTTATATTATTAAGTTACAAATTTTGTTATTACCTAATATACAATATATAAAATTTATTATGTAATTATGTTACATAAAATATAATAATATATACCAGTTAATTTTCTTTAAAAATAAATATTTACTATTTTAATATAACAATATTAAAATAATAAATTTAAATAAATTTTCAATATGATTATATATATATTTTCCTATTTTATATGACTTTATTTTATTGTTGATATATATTTACCTTAATATTTTATTAATAAAATTAGTTAAATAGTGTTTAGTGTGGTGAATAGTATCACAATAATATGATTTTGGAGTTGAGTTAGAGAAATTTTAATTACAAAATACACTAAAATGGTGTTTCATTGTTGGGTTGAAAATGAAGTTTCTCTTTGGTATTTTAATTTAGAGTATGTATACCTATATATTTTTTTCTAGAATCTCTATTATAGATGTGGTTTTGTTTTAATATATGATTCTATAATAGAATTTCTTTATTTTGGAGGAAAACGTAGAATAATTTTTTTTCTCTTTATATTCAGAGATGGAAACATCACTTTTATATTTCTCTTTAAATATAAGATTCTACTATATAGACATATATTGGAACAATTTTATCACTACAATAGAGTTTTTTTGTATTTTATATGAAAATATAGAGATTAAAATAGGGTTGAATTGGAGAGAGTCTTAAATGAAGTATATATCATTAAGGTGGTTTTAGGTAGGAACATTTAGGAAAAGAATAACTAATGACATAAAATCCATTATAATATTGCATCCCTTGTTTTCCATTTTTAAAAGATTTTCATAGTAATTAATTTGGTTTTTGTTTGTCCTTTACAATAAAATCTAGAAAAAGGGAAATGGAAGAAAAGAAAATACAAACTAGACACATACCGGTTTATCCAAACCAGCATAACCCTAACCCTAGTAAACCAACAAACAATAGGACAAAATGGATAACCCTTCATCGGACAAGCCCACCAAATCCATACCAAAAAGATGTTAAACTGTCACCGACTAAAAACTTCAGGCGCTAAACCGAAAGACAGAAACTACTTCCATAAAAGAAACTGGAAACAGAAAAGAAAGAAGAGAGAATTACTATCACCACAAACGAAATGAGAAGACCAACAAATCCAAAAAAACACACACGAAAAAAAGACAAAAAAAAAAAAAGGAGTCGAAAACAAATCAGACCGGTTTCGTCGGTTTAGAACCTGCAATTGAATAGATAGAACAGAATCACATCTCACAACCGACTAGTTTCCACCAACATAGATATTTTGCATCCCTTGTTATACGTGGGAGTGGGATGACAGGTGTACTAGTGCATTTTATATGTGATTTTATTTTCAACACGGTTCGTCAGAAACTATGGACCACTTCCCTGACTATCCTTCTTATTATGAGTGATTATATTTACTAAATTTGTCACACACATCATAGAGAGAGTCAAGCTCCACATATCTTTAGATACAAATAATATTAACTTGTCATCTACTACAAGCTTGAATTTATATCTGGTGGATTCATTGTTATGTGTATCTTTGTCCCGTTGCTATTTCTATCATTTGTATTATATACAATCACGCGGCTTTAAAATGTACTATCATATTTTTGGGTGTCTGACAGTTGTATTATTCATAAAATGTATATAAGATCGCAGTCCGGATCCAAAAACAAATGGAAGAATACTTGTTTTCTACTCGTAGGTTTTTGGTTTGTACTGACGCAAGAAAATAAAAATATTCATAAAATCATGTTGCAAATAATCTAATATCATTTTAGAAATTAAGCAAATAATTCTTTTATGATAATTAAATACTGTATTTTTCTTGCTTTGGGTTGAATTGATATCGATGATATTTGTTAGCTAATTATAACGGTAGTCTTTTGCATTCAGAAGCTGAGTACTCTTTTATATAAAAGACACAAGTCTTTTTTTCTTTCTTTTTAAAACACTGGCACGTTAGATGTCTACTAGCATAATATACATAACAACAACTAAACCATCTGTAACAGTTTGTTATATCCAAGTCTCCCTCTAATGAGTAACAACACTGGTTTTCATTTGCTATATTTTATCACCAAGCACTTGGATATATGTATATAGAACCATTAAAAGTATATATGTATTGATCTAATATGGCATTTCAAATCTTCTTGTGAACTAATAGGTTAATTCACCTAAGCTGAATATGTTGAAACTAAAAAAATTAGATAGACGGAAATACGAGAGTTGTGGAAAATAGAATGTCAATTGATCTAAAAGGCCAAAATGATTATTTATTCTGAGGTTCGAATGAAAGAAAGAAATTAAGAAACAAATATGAGTAAGTTATTCTCCCTCCTTATAAATCAAAATGTCATTGTAGATTGTACAAATTAATAAAATATTTAATTTTCTATATTTTCTGAATGAAATATCTTAAATAAATATTTATCTATTTTTTAACCAATAGAAAATAAAATTCAAAATATAAAAATTATAAAACGTTAAAAATTAATAATTATATAACTTCTAGTGTGTTATTAAAAGAAAAAATCTAGTACACTAAGTTTATCTTCTTTTTAATAAATTAGAGAAAACAAACAAAAAAACTATACTTCAATCGTTCCTTGACGATTTCACACCTTCTTTTCACACCACCTTATAAATTAATTAAAATCTCTATATTCTTCTCCGGCCTCTCTGTCTTCTCCTCTCTTTCAAAGAAGCCTACCTCTCTTCATTTATAAGTAACCCTAGAAAAAACTCTTATTCTCTTTACGTCACAAAGACTTTGATCCCAATAATGGACAGACGTAGTAACCCTTTTCACCACCACCACCACCATCAGCTTCATCACTTGATCCAACAGCAACAGCTTCCTCCATCGCCGCAGAGCACGACGGCAGCGATGGATCTCGGTGGTGGAGGAGGAGAGAGAATCCCTCAGTGGAGCATAGATGAGACAAAGGAACTTTTGGGTATAAGAGAAGAGCTTGATCAAACTTTCATGGAAACCAAACGCAATAAGCTACTTTGGGAAGTCGTCGCCTCTAAAATGGCCGACAAGGGTTTTGCTCGGAGCGCAGAACAGTGTAAGAGCAAGTGGAAGAACCTCGTCACTAGATACAAGGTTACCTTCAACTATCTATCTATTAAGTATTAATCCCTCTGTAGTCTAAACACATGTTAACGTTGGTCTATCATCATGAGTAAAAGTATATGCATCATGGGTAGAAGTATGCTACACCATTCTAAAAATTAAGATTATGTGTATGTTTTCTTTCATATTGGAAACCACCTAGTCTATGGTGTATGTATAGATGAACTATATTACACATACTGCAATTAATGAGTTTAATCTAATCTCTTAGGTTGTTTAGATATTATCCTGCCACTAATGGAAACAAGTTCTAGAGATTAGACTATAACGGGTTTAGTGGTGAGTTTCATGATACTGCTTATGTTCACATTTTGATCCGCTATACAATACTAATTTTTGTTTGTTTATGACACTACTAGTATTTCACATGGTAATTGGTGAGTAATTAAGTAATATCTCGTGTTCACAAAATGACACAAAAACAGTTACCGTATATATATAACGGATGCATGACCTTTAATAATTAACTAGTTTTTAACCCGTGCGTCCGCACGGGTGTTTGTTCTTCATAATCATACGTTCTTAACATTCAAAAATGCGATAAATTAAATAGTTTAGATGTTTGTTATGTTATAGATTCATATTTTATTCAGGATTTGACATTGACATGTCTTGTTCAATGTAATTAGCCTTCATTTTTAAATTATGAGTTTATATTTTTCTT